TAAAAAATTCTCCTTTGTTATTTCAGTACATATATTTATGACGGCGATGTGGAGAGGGTGACCAAAAAAGCCACTGGCTCCAGTGAGGGTGGAATGGTGCATGAAACAGTTGAAAGGTCAGTCTGAATTGTGTGTATAATATTCTATGATGCAGCAATGCTGTATACTCCCTATCTTTATTGAACTCAATTTGGTAAAAAAAAAAAAAATAATTGGCTGAAAAATCTCTCAGTCAACAGTTTGCTGGCAGCTTTTTACTGACAGTTTTTAGAGAGTGTACCAGTTAACATTTCTATGGTATGAAACAAGAGTTCGACAAATTAGAGACAAATGGTGTTTAAAATTGAAGAAATTAGGAGGCAGTAACACAAGTTATAGTTACAAATAAAAACCTCAATAATCTGATATTTTGTTTATACCTGTGAGAAAGATAGTATTTCAGCCATTTTGTCAAAGATCTGTTTCAGCCTGATTCATCTAAAGTTGACAAGTTCTCACTGTCTTTTTACAGACATCTCTTCTTATTTAATCATGTCTTACTGGTTGGCATGGTAAGTTGATTTAGTGTGCGGTATCCAATATTTAATTTTTTCTCTTCCCCTGAACTTTCTGACCTTGTTTGAAATAATAAAGTACAATAAATAAATTAATTTTCCATTATTTATGATTGTTCCATTAATTGTTTTCCAGGCATCGGAGAATCTTATAACAGGAAAGAAAACATATAAACTCAAGCACAACATTCCTCTTGCACAAGCATGGGTTACACCACCCAGTGCATATTACACTAGCCCACCAGAAAATAGTAAGTTGTAATGGATATTAATGTCCCTTAATACTAATAAAAACCCCCATTCTTGGGGACCCAGGGGCAGTCAGTCGGGCTGGCAGACAAAGTGCAACAAAAGTTTTTAAGCACGGGCGGAAGAGCCCCTGGGGACCGACTCTCACTTGACCATTTCCAAACAGTCAAGTGAATGCTGGCTCCAGATTGGGCACAAAAAATGCTTGGTATTATTGTGCCCAATCGAGGATGAAAAAACCCCTGCCCTGGAATTGTGTATTTCAAAGATCAAGAAGAATAATTTTTAATCGATTTGCTTCCCCTGAAGAACGTTGAAATCAGAACGTTCCTTGCCAAATTTGTTGAGCTTGAGTTTTCCCACTCGTGGTTTAGGATGGCTTGTTAACCAGCGAAATCCTTCGGGATACTGGCAAGTCACGAAAGGCGACCTAAGCCAAATTATTTCTTTCCTTCATGATTCTTTTTTGTTTAGGTCTAGCTTTTTCATAAGGTTTTAGTAGCGTCTGGATGCGGGCCGTGATTTCTGATAGATTTTTTCTATTCGGAGTTCCTGGGAGTTCGCCAGTTTTTGCCGAGCACAGCTAGAGTTCAGTTTTTTTTCTTTTCTTATTGAAAACACCTTGACGATGGGAGGTTAAATAGCGTAAATTTCAACTCGTACCCTTGACGACTGGCGTTGAAATCACGAAAATATTGTCCTCGTCGATTGACGACCTGCTTTCGGCATGGGTTGGACTTCTGGATGGGACACGGATCTGGACATGAGTAAACTTATTATACCTTGGAATCAGGGATAATCATTGGAATTGTGTTAACTTTGAGACCTTGGAAACACATTGCAATTACTTTTTTAACCGTATNATTACACTAGCCCACCAGAAAATAGTAAGTTGTAATGGATATTAATGTCCCTTAATACTAATAAAAACCCCCATTCTTGGGGACCCAGGGGCAGTCAGTCGGGCTGGCAGACAAAGTGCAACAAAAGTTTTTAAGCACGGGCGGAAGAGCCCCTGGGGACCGACTCTCACTTGACCATTTCCAAACAGTCAAGTGAATGCTGGCTCCAGATTGGGCACAAAAAATGCTTGGTATTATTGTGCCCAATCGAGGATGAAAAAACCCCTGCCCTGGAATTGTGTATTTCAAAGATCAAGAAGAATAATTTTTAATCGATTTGCTTCCCCTGAAGAACGTTGAAATCAGAACGTTCCTTGCCAAATTTGTTGAGCTTGAGTTTTCCCACTCGTGGTTTAGGATGGCTTGTTAACCAGCGAAATCCTTCGGGATACTGGCAAGTCACGAAAGGCGACCTAAGCCAAATTATTTCTTTCCTTCATGATTCTTTTTTGTTTAGGTCTAGCTTTTTCATAAGGTTTTAGTAGCGTCTGGATGCGGGCCGTGATTTCTGATAGATTTTTTCTATTCGGAGTTCCTGGGAGTTCGCCAGTTTTTGCCGAGCACAGCTAGAGTTCAGTTTTTTTTCTTTTCTTATTGAAAACACCTTGACGATGGGAGGTTAAATAGCGTAAATTTCAACTCGTACCCTTGACGACTGGCGTTGAAATCACGAAAATATTGTCCTCGTCGATTGACGACCTGCTTTCGGCATGGGTTGGACTTCTGGATGGGACACGGATCTGGACATGAGTAAACTTATTATACCTTGGAATCAGGGATAATCATTGGAATTGTGTTAACTTTGAGACCTTGGAAACACATTGCAATTACTTTTTTAACCGTATCAAGAGTGTCTTGGAAAATTAAACTTTCATCTTGTATTAAAACATTGGAACTTTATCGAACTTTGTAACCCTGGGTTCGACCCTGGATAAAGCAAGCGGATGTTTTGTTTTGTTTTGTTCCATTAACCTAGATAGAACGCCGTTATGCTTCCATAGACCAACGCGTCCCACGGAAATGACTTTAGGCATCTTGTTAAACTTACTTCTGCTTTGATGTCCAACTTGTTGATTGTTATTACATTACAGTGTTTATTCTTGGAACACCAACTCAAATCTACAAATTCTTAGCACCTTCGGACAGAGAAAAAACAACATGGGTTAAAAAACTTAAAACATACATTGAGAAAGAAAAGCAAGCATTTGTTGAGGTAAGACATTTGATGCAAATATCACTGGTGATAACATTCTGTGTTAACGTCTTCCTACTTATGAAAATATTTAATGATATTCATTTGTAAACTCTTATTTTGAACTCATGAAGAACTTATGAGGAGAAAAAAAGAAGATATCATTACTGTGAGGGAGGTTTAAATTGCAGAATGTAATTATCTTAAAATTTTATAAAATTATTATATTATGATATTATATTACAATCTTCAAGAATCATTTTTAGTCAAGTAGTTATTAATATGAAATAATCGACTTAGTGGTGGTCTGATATTATGCATTAATGTACACCTCTTAATACCTTGATTCTCTTCTAATATCTTCTATAAGCAGACACTTTGTCATGTTGTCCCATTGACATACAAATGCTGTATTTTTAACCGCCCTTTGGCTGATACCTTTTGCAAGGGATTGTTGAAGTAAGCATAGCTTGAATAAGAAAGGGTACTGAACATTAAAATAATATTAATTACTTTATTTGCCGCTTGCAGTTTTTTCAAGGGTTACCAGTTCCAGATGAGCAGTTCTTGGCAGTTTCAATACAATCTAAAATTGATTATCACAAGACAGTTGACCTAGGTATATTTTATGTTGAAATTCAATATTATTATTGTTAACCATACAATCATACAGCATATTGGTACTGATATTAATATTAAAATATCCTACGGAACAAAATATCTTCCTCAAAGGAAAACAATTAACCAAATTGAAGTTTTTAAAGTAGTCAGACTACACTACTACATGTTATGTAAGTACTTTAAGTGATGCAAGTAGTTACAGACAGTCAGCCATTCAGTAAATCAGTCAGTTAGTCAGTTGGTCAGTCACTGAGTCTATCAGATCAATCAGTGAGTTAATCAGTCACTTATTTAGTCAGCTAGACAATCAGTCAGGCAGGCAACCAGTCACTCAGATGGTTTGTCAGTTAATCATTTAGCCAGTTAATTAGTCAGTCAGTCACTTGCCCAATCAGTCATTTAGTTGGTTTAAGTCAGTCATCAGTCAATCAGTTTTTCAGTCAGCCAGTCGGTCAGTCAGTCAGTCACTCATTCAGTCAATCATTCAGTCAGTCAGCCAAAATCAGTCAGTTAGCCAGACAGTCTATCAGAAAGTCAGTAAGTCAATGAGCCAGCAGTCAGTGTTGGAGTACTCAGACAGTCAATTGGTCTTGCACAGTCAGTCACTCAGTAACTCAAAGTTTATCCATTTCAAGTACTTAAAAATAATATTATCACCTTTTCAATTTAGAATTGAACCTGAGACAAGGTGAAGAAGTTCTTATCATTGGGATCAAATCTGGGGGTTTGTGGCTGCCAGTAAGTAAAATTGTACTTTTAAAAGTGTTGCTGCCTTGGTTGTCCACCGTAAAAATCACTGACAGCTACAATGAGGGACAAAAGTGTTGAGACACTTCCGTAAAATGGCCCCTTTTTGAATAGTGGACTTACCTATCCCCTTCCCCTGTCTACCTCCACCCCTCGCCCCCAAAATCAATGTTGTATTTTGGACCCTCAAGTCTTTCTTTTACTTCAGACAACATTGATTCAGGGGGTGAGGGGATTTATGGCGTTTAAAAGGAATGAAATAATAAATGAAGTAAATGTTTGATAAAAGCAACTGTTCTAAACAAGTGTGTCAACTACTTTTGTCCCTGATTGTCTGAAATATGTATCTATGTTTTCCGGCTAGATTTTTGACGCTGCTGAATTGTTGTGCCATGACGTTACTCTATGGGCCAAATTGTTTGTTTACAGACAACCATTTGTAAATTTTCGTCCTGATTTGTAGTACACGTACAGTAAAATGTACTACGCGTATGTCATTACTTAATCTTGTACTCCCGCGCGCGTTCCTGATACCCTGTCGGGTCGAGAGGAAATCATTTGTGTTGTGATCACTGCCGTTGCTGCGGATGTAATGTTTTCACAAGTATTAACACTAGTGGAAAAACGATGGAAACACCAAGGTACAATGAAAATTGTTCTTGTGTGCATGAATAGTCAACTTAAGATAATGAAATACGGCAGAGTAACGGAGCGGACATGCATTATTTTCGACACTGACTTGTGCAATTGGTGAAAGGACGTGAACAATATACAGGATATGAACCTCACAAATGATGGGCCAGCCGTTTCTGCTATGCCCTATAAATGTTTTTCTTTTTTTTTAGACCTTTTCAAACCTAACAGATCCAAACCTTTAGCGTAGGTAGGCGTAGAACAGGTTAGGAATGTACTTTTGTGATGATTTTAGATGACCGCCTGCCATTTATTCAGTGGCATGATTTTTTATTGATGTTGGATGGACAACTAGTTCATTTCCCAGCTCCTAAATCACATAATGCTAAAGAAATTGTTTTCAAGATAGACAGACCAGTTCGTATCTCGCCTAAAAAACAATTACTGTGGCCCAGAAGTTCACTTGATGACAAGGAGAGCGGGAGTGGCACGTGATCGATGACGGCCGTGAGCTGGAAAATTTTCCGTTTTCATGCCCTAATTCCTCATAAAAGGCAAAAGAAGATCTCGCTATGTAGAAAGTGCTTTGCAATACTTATTCTTGGCGAGCAACATTGCAGCGATGTGGTGCAAATAAGGAGTTTTAACGGTTAACCACGAGAAAACATATCGACATTAAGAGGTCATAACAGACTAATGTTACTTTCCGTTTGCCGAAACGTGGTTAACCGTTGTAACACGAAGGAAGCAGTGTTTTCCTCAGTTTGAGCTGTTGTTTCTTTGAGAGTCAGATACCAGTTCACGTTTTAAAGCTCTGCTTTCATTTTTCCTGCCGACAATAGAGAAAAACAGAGGGTTTCGCTTGAGAAATGCAGTCCAAATACTCAGACATATGCGCTGATGTCACGCTATTTGCGTTGCGTTATCATGTCACAGAGGGTGTCACCGGGTGGGATTGAAAGTAATTGTTTTCGCGTACACTTGTAATATTTGTTACGCTATCCTTAGTTTTTTATTAAATTGGCCATGAATTTACCTTCACTTTTCCGTAGTTCCGATATTGAACGCAGTGATGGCCGATCCTCACTAACGCTCCATATTTCCGTGGCCGGCCAGTGACTATCCCCAATACGTGTCAATCCTTACGCTACCCCTGATTGTTTGCGTCTTATCAATCGGATAAAGTAAAGAAAGAGGAATATTCACTTTATTAAAAATATTTTCAGTACGCATACTCTTGAAATTCACCAAAAGTTGTACATGTGCGCGAGTTTCAGCCTCAGTTTTTAGCTTGTAAACTATATCGCCGTTAATTCTGGATACCGCAGCCCTTTTATTACGTCATCACGTAATTCGAATTGGCCCTATATTTCGGTCGTGAAGAAGTCAATGTCAACCCCACCACCAATAACATAATTATGTCATTGATTGCTTTAATTTCAGTTAAAATCATTGTCATACAGAGCTCAACTTGTGTGCAGTAGTACAATTTTGCATTCAGACAATGAGGGACAAAAGTGTTGAGACACTTCCGTAAAATGGCCCCTTTTTGAATACTGGACTTACCTATCCCCTTCCCCTGTCTACCTCCACCCCTCGCCCCCAAAATCAATGTTGTATTTTGGACCCTCAACTCTTTCTTTTACTTCAGACAACATTGATTCAGGGGGTGAGGGGATTTATGGCGTTTAAAAGGAATGAAATAATAAATGAAGTAAATGTTTGATAAAAGCACCCGTTCTAAACAAGTGTGTCAACTACTTTTGTCCCTGATTGTAGCTTGGATTTAAGGCATATTTGCCTCTCAGTGTTGTCAACTGTTGCTGAGATATGATTGTTCAAAGACATATAAAATTATAATATGCACTGCCCTTTCTGTTTTGGCTCTAAAGTCACTTATATTGTTATGCCTGTCTTTATCGGGCAGAAACAATCTTGTTGGACATTATTACTTTGCACACAACTAATAAAATACACCCCCCAAAATGCTGAAAGTTTAAAAAATACCCTAAGCACTCATTCAGCCTCCAGATTTTTTTTACTAGGGTGCTTAATAAATGATTCAAAGGTGTGTTAATAATTAAAAATAATATGATTATTTTGTAGGGGTTATATGCTGTGAATGTTTGTGAAATTGAGTTGGCATGGTAGGTTATTTGCTTGATTGTTTGTATAAAAGCATGTCAATGTGTTATTTCTGGATGGTTAATTATTACACTGATCAATAAAATAATGATTAGTTTTTTGTCTTTCATGTAAATAGTTTAAGTTTATACCCTGTTTTTGACCTTAAAGTATTCCATTCAAAACAGACATAGACTATGAGTAGTCCCCATTTTTCCTCAGGGATAGAAGAGCGAGTGAAACGCGATCACGTGTGAAAATCACCCCACGTGAGAAAAGGCTACACGTGTCACCTTTTCTCGCGTGGGGTGATTTTCACGCGCTCTCGCATTACGCTCACTCTACTATCCCTGAGGAAAAATGGGGACTACTCATCGTCTAAAACAGACATATCTGTGTAATCTTTCTACAGGTGGCCTGGACTCCACAAAGGCAGATTTGGGTGGTTTCCAGGTAAGAAAATGAATTCAGCAACTGAATAATGATGACATATTAATTTAGTTTTGAAATGAGATGATTTCTGCAAGTTATAGCTATCGTCAACAACCTGGCAGCTATATTAGGATAACTCACTGTCAGGTGATATTGTTGATATCTTTTCCTACAGCTCAATGTGTAACTGGGTCTGATGTCACAAGTATCACTTCCACAAACGAGGTGAGTGCATGGTGTTAACTGTATATAATTATACATAATAACAACTGGAAAGTTGTTATTATCGAGAGATCTAACTTTAACTAACAACTTTACTAATGATATTAATAATAACTTTAAACAATGATAATAATAATAAGTAATAATAATAATAATCCATCATTATTTTCCTTTTTAACACAGTTTACTGTAGTTTAAATCTTTGTCTTTTGATGTTTTTAGTTTCATCCTATTCCTGTGGCTGTTGCGCTGAATGTTATAAAAAGAACTATGATGAAATGGGTAGGTGAAATTATTGATGGATTAGCTGAGTTAAATGGTTATTGTTGTCATGAGGATGATTTTCACTTGAATTTTGCATCTTCAAGCCTTTCTGGACAACTTATCCATCCCTGGAACAATCAGTCTTTTAAGGAAAAGATTGACACAATAATGGTAACACAGTGAAACCTCTATTAAGCGGACACCCCCTATGAAACAGACACTAAGCCGGGTCCTGAAATTAATGTCTTATATTCCCTTTATAATGAACCCCTATTCAGCAGACACTTGTATTAAGCGGACACGGACACTAAAATAAATTGTATTTGGCTAATTTCTATTATTAAAAACCTCTGTTAAGCGGACACCAGACTGAATTGACATAGTAGTTTTGCATTATGTCCTTTAAATATGTATACAGTAGTCGATTAATAAGGATAAATCGATACATTTAGCTGTCAATAAACTGTAGATTAGACCAATATCTGGCCGTATGATTGTCATCTGCAATCAAAGTTCACCTAAAATTCTTGCACAAAGTACAGCACAGCTTCCTTACCTTCCTTAACAACATGGAACTTTATCACAGTACAGAGTAACTGTTGAATTTACAAACCTCTATTAAGCGGACACCCTCTGTTAAGCAGACACTTTGGAAGGTCCTGAAGGTGTCCGCTTATAGAGTTTTCACTGTATCATAATAGAAATGAAACATTGATAGAATAAACTAATCCATGAAATGCTGCTTTATCAACCTTGTACCCAGTACCTCCTCTTCCCATCTGCTTAATCTGTTGCTTCAGGGAGCTCCAGGGGATGGAAAGAAGTAAAAGTACTCTAGAAATATTTAGTGCTTTAAGTTATTACCTGCAGAATGCTGTCTGTATATATTGATGAACAAATATTAAAAAGTGATTATTTTTCTTTTTGACAGACCAGCAGCAGTGCTGCCATTCCAATTTTTGAGGATCCAATGACATTAAAGGTTTTTAAACCAGACAAAACATTCAAGGTGAGAAATGTCTTTGATTTTATGAGTCACTGTCTTGCTCCAAGTTACTTTTATATTTTATTAATTTAATTTTCACTCGAGTTTATGCCAGCAATTCTTTGTATACCTGATTCATTTTTGCAGGAGGGTAAACAAAGTTTTTACTTAATGTTTTACTTTCCTTTAGCTTGACTTTTGTTATGTATAGTGCAAGTGGTACTGTCATACAAATTATTATTTTCATAAATATTTAAGTCTTCTCAATATTTTTTCTGTTTGCAGACTTGTAAAGTACATACTGACTGTTTGGTTTCAGGTGTTTTGCAGTAAGTGTAGCTGTCATTATTTGACCAGAAACAAAAGTTCCAATAATATTATCAGATGAAATGAATTATTCTACAATATTTTGTTTTCTTTGTTTATGGTATTTCCATGGCTCTTAAATTTTTAGAAAACTCTGGTATGTAACAGTGCTGTGACTGTTACTTGACCAAAGGCAAATTACATTCAAGCCGGTATAAGGACTAAATGTTTGCAATTATAAAGACTGGACTAGTAAATTTCATGTATTGAACAAGTACTTGACATTATATGCTGTTGATCCTAGTAATGAATTGTGAAAGCTGCAAAACATTTAAGTGAATATTACTAAAAATGTTTCATTGCTTCATTGTAATAAGGACTGTGATTATTTGATGAATATAGAAGTATAGTCAAACCCTATCAGTGTCCACCTCTCCGCCCGGGTTACTTTTTTCATCCTGGCTGACAGTCCATACATTCACTTACACTTTGCTTTATTGTTAAATGCCTTCTTTTGTTTTTATTGTACAGCCAATACACAAGGCACAAGAGTTTTGTTGGGGGAAATATTGATGTAGCAGTGTTAGAATTGTGGGAAGAATCATTGGATGGTTCAGGTAAGAGCGCCATCTGTCTTGGCTGTTCAAAATGATGATGTGGAAGATGTGCTCCTTGAGGCAGAAAGGGAGCACCCACCCATGATGACATGCAGCTTCGTTTTCACCTAAGCCCCTGAGCTCCCAGGGTCAATGTCACCTTGTGACTTACGCCAAGGTGATCCCATTAACAAGGTAGTAGTTGACATCAACAGATTGGGAGTTACATTTACTTTTTTTCCATCGCTGTTGATGGGAATAATTTTTAATGTTGTGGTAGTCTTGTGACATGGAAGAATGTGTCATGAAGCCTTTTGCCACTCACCCTTTCAATATTAACAGTGTCAGAAAAATTAATTCCATGCTCTGGTACCTAGAATCTACAAGAGACTAGTCTAAGGAGCTGTGAGTGAATTGTGAAAAGTGCTTAATGAAGATGAGCGAAAGCTTATTCATTTATGCCAGGGCTTCCTTTAACAGCAAAAGACTTTCACTGATAGTAAAAGTCTTTCTTGTACCCAAACCTTGCTTCAATCAGTCTTTGACCCCCTTCTCGAGAGTTTTTTTATCCAGCTGACCACGCTCTGACAAGCAAATTGTTGCGGGACAGGTATAAGGTTGTGGATAGGGCAAAAGGGATTACAGATATCTTAAATCTGCCATCATTGCCATGCAAAGCACACCTCACCCCTCCCAAAATAGCTCCTTTTAAATGCAGTAAAAACCTGCGACTAAGAACCTGGTTTTTAAGAACCTAAGGCTAAAACTTGCCAGTTAAACCGCCTCTATATAAGAACCTGTTTAGCCTAAAATTTGAAACAGGTTCTTATTTTCTAAAATCTATAAAAACAAAAATTCTGTACAGTTAAGCATATACGACAAGTCAAAATTCAGGATCCTCTTTGGAGACGTAGGTGCCTTATTACTCCAACTGCAGTTGTAATGGTATACTGGTTTTACCCAAGGAATGAGCTGAATACCGCTAAAATAATACTGTTAGCTACAATGTATTTTTTTCTTTCAGAAAATTAGAACCTATTTAAGAACCTAAATAGCCTAAATTTATGCTAATTATCATTTATGTAAAAACCTGTCTAGGCTAACTTGGGAAAATGGAGGTTCTTAGTTGTAGGTTATTACTGTATTGCAGCAAGTATTGTGTAGTTTTTGTTTCCTTTGACATCCAAGTTGATTATTCATTCTACCAGTTACCTATTAATATTAATATTCCAGTGTGTGACAAACGCAGACTGCAGACTGCAGACTGGCAGGTAAACGAGCAAACACTGTTGTGAGATGATTTAACAGATTCCCTATCCCTAAACTTTATGGGCCAGTTATTTAAACGGAATTTAGCCATTGTTTAACAAAACCGTGTTCTAAGTCATTTTCACTTTGCCCAGTGCTTTTATCTAAACACCATTTATCGTTTACAGTTTTGTTAAAGCATATAGAGTAGACAAGAAAAGCATTTATCTTCTTAAATTGACCCACTAAGGGAGAGATCTGGAGGTCCAACACCGGTGTAAGATAGACTTTGTTTAAATAACCGATCTTAAGTCTTCTTAAAGGCTTGTTTTAAGGATAGGAAATCAGTTAGAGCATTCCACAACAATGTTTACCTTGTTTGCCTGCCAGTCTACAAGTTTGCAGTCTGCGTTTGTCACACACCGCTAATATTCTTATCTTTAATATTCAGTACGAAGATGCCTGGACCCTGACGAAAAGCTGGTGGATATTTTTACAATGTGGGGAAAGTATCAGGTAAACATAATTTGTTTCCACACCATTATTCACTAATTTGATGGTTTGTTGTGTATTTACCACACACTGAAATAACACCTAATTAACAGTAATTTTTGTGAGAGCATTGTACTGATGGCTTGAAAACACAGAGCCCTAAATTTGTTCGGGCCTCACTTCAAAGTCGCTTAAAATTCTTTCATAACTGCATGGGCATTTCTTCATATAAAGGTCGATGAATGATATTTAATGTGATTAAGGGTTCTAGCTGTGAAACATGGGCAGGAATTTAGGGCTTTCCTGGCTATTTATTATTTGTTGGGCCATGAAGGCCAGAAAATCCTGTTGTTGTTATTTTCAAGTCTGGAAAGCCATGCTATTGTGTCTGTGGTTACTGCAATAACCTGGCCTTGACCATCCTTTTCCTGATGCAAGGGCAGTGCAGCTATAGTAATTTTATTTGATTGGAATTAAAAGATTTACTAAATATTAAATGCTCATGTACAAGTTGCACTATACCTCTAAATAAAAGAAAGAAAACAGACCCACAGTTATTATTGTTGAAACACTTGGCCATCATTACATGTATCTACCGACCAGAAAAAAGCTTAAGTAATTTACTTGCCGTCATAGCACAAACAAGCACAAAGATGTCAATACTGTGAGCACCAGTAAGTGGAAACTCTGAAGCCAATCCACTTTCGCTTAATTATTTTCCTTTTTAGGACAAGATGAAGCTTGTTATTCACAGTTCAAAAGAAGGACAAAAAACCCTGACTAAGAAGAGCAAGAAGGATTCTAAGGACGAACCACCAACAGGAGATCTTATCACCTTTGATTAGTGACAGTGGATATGATAGTTTGATGTAAAAAAAGTGCTGTTAGATTTACCGGTAGTTGGAGATGGTTCTCCTTTCAATGTTTGGCGTGTCAGATGTGTTGCCTTCTTATAAAAACCTTTTAGTTTCATTATTATTTAGACTAAAACATTATTTTCATACTTATATCTTAGCTAAAATAGGTGATCAATTTTCCCACCACATGGGAAACAGGCTTAACAACTTATGTTAAGTTTGGAGTGATTGCAGAATACCCAGCCCACTAAATATCATACTCAAAAAACTGCTCCCGCAGTCGTGTTCTATTATGTTGGGTGCGCAGTCCCACAGTCCAGTAGTCAACAAAAAAATTGGGGCTCCTGCAGTCACGCACTCCTGCAGTTGATGTCAAGTAACTTGTGTGCTTATAGAACGAGGTATACTGGTGCTCGCACAGTCCCACACTCCCGCAGTCTCTGTCTATTTATTATGCAAATCGGGCAAGTGAGGGACCTCAGGAGCAGTTTTTTAAGTTAGATGTTTAGTGGGCTGGGTATTCTGCAATCTAGCCTTAAGTTCAGGCTTGCAACCTTGTGCAGGACCTTGTTCATCTGAGTCATTAAGAGATTGAGACTTGGGGCCATTTATTTAAACAAAGTCTATTCAGACCGTGTTTTACAACAATAATAATTAGTGGAGCACTTGTAGTGCTTTCCACTGGATAAATCTCTATCCAGGGGATAGCGCAATTGGTTTCCCTAATACTTATCCACTGGATAGTGGTTTTTCCAGTTGATAGTGCTATCCAGCCTTTGAACAACCGGGGCCAGGGGCCCGTTTCTCGAAAGTCCTGGTAACTTTATGGGTCCGAAATGAAATATTCAAATCGAAACATAAAGAATAAGAGCGCGGTTCCTGGCTAGCAAACTACTCCATTTTGTTTCATTAACTGACAGTTTTATCGTGTTAGATGTAAAACTATTGAAACCTCCGTCTTTAATGTAAATGGAGACAGCTTACCAGGCCCGTTAATTATCGGGACTTTCGAGAAACGGGCCCAGATCTCACAAATGACAGCCTTTAGGATTAGCCAATATGAACATAACTTGGAAATTCATTTTGTTAAGCACTGGACAAACTCCATTTAAATATCTGAACCTGAGTGTTCATTCATAATGAGCCCTCCTTTCGCATAAGGTTGCCAAGGGGTGGCTGAATAGAATTTTATTTGTTTTCCTACGCTATGAAAGTAACTGTGAATGATTTATAAAAGCCACTTGTAAGCTTTTTAGCATTATTCTTTATCTAGAGAAAAATATATTTTAACGGTATGTCAAAGATTTTATTAAAATCCCCAGAAAAGAGTCCATGTTTACACAAAATATCAAATTAATTATATGAATCAGCCCTATTTTAAATAATGGCTGCTGAAAACAATCAAAACACTCTTATTCATTAAAAGTTTCAGCTGTCATACTTCTGACACCATCTGTTCTCTAAGCCTTGTCATCATGAAAAAAATATTAACCATGGATTTATCATTAATAAATTAATGTGTACTATACTGACAAATTCCTTTATTATTTCTTGATGATATTAACAGTTAAATTTCATATAATTAATATATACTACTTCTAGTAAAGGAATAGTGGGTACTCTTCTAACGTTGATGTGGATGTGTGCAATTGTACAGTTTTTTTCTTTATAGATTATGAATTTTTTTTTGGTGGGGATTGGGGGGGGGGGGGGGGGCTGGGAAAGAGGGGGGGTGGGTCATGAGGTTTTGAGCCTTGTGTAAGGGGTGGGTCGTGCAATTTGCAGCTACCCTTAGGGGGTGGGTCACCCTATTTTATTACATAGATAAGCACTAACTGCACTAACGAGACAGTTGACCACACTTGTTTTATAAAACACAGCCAGCTGGAATTATTGCTAAAATACTCACAAACCTGTTGTGCGAGAAAATGCAACGGGTGACAGACCGCACATCCCGTGAACCCTTTGTTAACCTTTTTTTTTTTGGCNATATCAGAAATTATTTGTGATCATTCTTAATTTCAATAATTGAAATTAAGAATTATGTTTATCAATTTTGTATAATATTATTAACATTTTAATGGTGTGCCCTTTCTACAATTTTAAAGAGTTTTATACTTAAATGACAAGAATTATTTGAAACACAGGAATTTTACCAGGAAATGTGAGACTGAAGCGTCTATAAAATACAGTTAAAAGTATTCATACATTTTGGATTAAAATGGAGTTTCATTATTACAGATTGTGTGATTATATACTTAAAGTAAAATTAAATAAAATTTACAAATAAATACACTTTCTTTATTGTTGTCATACAAAATTTCAGTTTCAAATTGATTTTATTAAAAAATTTAATAATTCTTATGAGGTTGAACGACACAACCAAATTTAGCAATACTCTTCTCTGGTATTTTGATTCGCCCCATGGGAGCACCAAAATACACCGTAACTCACAAAAATATCCCACAATAATATGGACTTAACCGTCCCTTTGGCAAAAGATTATATCACAACCATCTTATCCTGAAGGTTTATATTATGTGCTGGTCAGTCACAGGAAAAGAGTTATATATAGGATAATGCCTGAGCTCCAAGGCCTTTATATAAATAATGACCAAAGGGCGCAATGCAAGGTTATTATTTTTAAGGAGGCTGAGGAGCCCCAGGCATTATCCAATTTAATGCACCTTTCCATAGTTTTAGAACCAGCAAGTCATTATTGTGGCCACTGAAGTGAAACAGCAAGTTATTAATTCTAATAATGACCTTCTGTTCCTCCTCAATGACCTGTTCTGTAATTAATTGAAAATAATAACCAGTTCAAAACAATCAAAAGGTGTGTTAACCGAGGTTTCCAATAGACGCCTCCCTCATTTCTGTGAGCAAAGGCAACAACCTGAAGCTTGGGTTGACGAAATACAAATAACTTATAATTTGCATGATCAAATACTGGTAAAAATACTTGCCTGTGAAGTACAACTCCTCAACCATTTCCTTATAGTATTTCCATAGTTTTCCAGGAAGTTAAGGCTCTGGAAGTTCTTATTTCATGAAGTCTTTGAACAACACAACCATGCGAATACTGACTAGGCCGAATGCGAAAGCTCAGCCTCTGACTTTTTGTCTCTAACACTCACACACTTGTTTCCCAAGCTATAAAACCTCAGTGGTTTAAGTGCCCACTCAGGTCCATAGGAATCTATGCCTATTCTTGCTGAGTTCACTATAGTCATGTCTCTACTGCAAAATTCCTTGTCATCTTCTATCCAAAATCTATTAGAAGTTGTCATGTCTTCTTTGTTGAGATTAGCTTTTTCAATATCAAGAGCTTGACAGAGTTTCGAAGGTCCATTACACAACTCATGGTCTTTCAACTTGCTGCCAGCATCTCTTCTTCGCACCCCTCTAAAGGATTTCATAGAGTCGAACCCTGCAACATAATGGAGATTTGCTCTCAGTTAGATAGGTCAAGGTTTATGGAAGCTCTCGCTTGACACTAGAAGTAAGACCAAGACACCATCAAATTAGCCTGCGTGAGC